TATGTTTTCTTGTAGAAGAAAAGTAATGTAAGTGAACAAAAAAATTACAGAAAGTGATTTATTCTCTGCATAGAAGTTGAAAGAAAATGTAAGAATTTGATTTCTACTAATTCTGATTGCTGAGTTCAGTGCTTATGTACTTAAACTCTGAAAGGGTGTGTCTGTATTTTCCTTTGGAGTAGATTCTGTGCAGTGAAAATTCTGTGCACTTGAACTGACTCCAACCAAATGCACTGTCCCTAACAGGGAAAAAAATACATGCAAATGAAAGATACGTACACTGGCCAAACCATGCATATCCCAACCCCATGCTGTGCCCTCAGACTCCTGGCACAGATCATTTGGATGCACTGAACGTACTTTTCTGTCTCAGTGATCCCACCTACAAGAGGAAATACACTTAGACTGCTCCATTATTAAAATATTGCAAATAACTCACAAGATAAGGAAGTGGGCACTGATAGAGACACCTTTTCCCTGGCCAAGTGTCTAGTTGAACTGATGAATTTTCATTGTTCCTTTTAAGGGCATTGAAGGACAGATTTCATATGCTCCATGCCAAGCCAGTTCACGAAAATTAAGACTTAGACAAAAAATCAGCATTGCCTTTGGGGTCTGGACAATACCCTCTTAAAACACTTTTTGGCCGCCTAAACAATTTCTAGACTAATCAGATATGCAATCCCTTAAAAAAGAACTCCTTTACTTTGTACTTAGGTTTCTTTCTTGGCGATGATAAAAGAGAAAGAAAAATCACAACTTACTTTCATAGAAAACTGGATACATGTTCGTTCGTCAACTTGATATGAGACACAAAGCATAAACAAGCCAAGATAGGCCACTAAGCAGACCTGCAATGGAGAACATGGAAGAAAGGATGTTATCAGGCAAGTTGTGAGTCTAATGACATCAATCTCAGTGTCTTTCACCAGTGACATCCATTTTATCAAGCTATTCATTTCATTTACTTTAGGTGCTGTGTTTTTTGCTCAATACATACAACACAGTTTTAAAGATAATAATATCAACTTATTTCAATTTAGCTAGTATTTATTAAGTCCTTCTGATGCACCAGGTGCCATCCAAGGTCATTCAGAGTATACGGTGAAGAATAAAGTTGCCCCAACCTTAATCAGTTTACAGTGCAATACGAGCCAAAATGAGTGCATACACTATTCTAAGGCAGGGCATTATGTGTCAAGTGCTATTCAGAAAAGTACAAAAAGAGGAAGAAATTATATTGAGTAGGGCTTCACTCAAGATATGGATTTGAAATGGTCCTTAAAAGTGATAATATTAATGATCTCTAACATTTACTGAATACTTGCTATGTTCTGGGGCTCTTCTAAGGGCCTTATGTGTGTTTCATCATGTAATCATCACAAAACCCTATAAAGTAGGTGCTATTATGATCTCATATTGTACACGAGGAAGCAGACGCACACAGCTAGTAAATAAGGGAAGCGGGATTCAGACCAGGTGGCTTGAGTAAAAATCAGCTGCAGCAGGAGCAAATAGCTCGGAGGTAGGGCTGCACTAAGTGTGGTAAAGATTAGTGAATGGGCACCCATCGCTGAAATAAGAAAACAAGGGCAAAAATGATAGGATGGAAATGAAGATGTTGGATTGATTTAGTTAAGTAGTGGAGCTCCCTTGACAATGTTTGAACGGGGAATGACATGACTTGAGACGTGTTTCAGGGAACTGAGCAGTGCTGTTGGGTAGGTTGGCAGTGAGAACACCAGGATATTATTTTACTAAGCTGAGCAAAATTAATATATCAGGTGGACCAGAGTTCAGATGGTGGCAGGAAAATCCTGAGAAAGAGAAAGAGAGGACAGGTGTGGTAAAAGCAGACTCTGTTCTTCTTGACTATTGCATGGCTGATGGGAAGACACTGGGGAGGAAGAAACAGAAAGCTGCCCCCAAGCTTCTGCGTGTCAACATGGGAAGAGGGTGGACGTGCTGGCTGAAGGAGGGGTGATAGGAAGAATCACAACTTTGAGAGAAAATATACTTGATTTGTTAGTCAAACTGGATTTTCTTTTTCATGAACTCGAGTTTTTAAGAGTGACTTGGAGTCTCTAATCAAAGTATGTCTAGTCACATTCAATTTTGGAAAGCTTAAAATGTTGATAAGGTTCTATACTTTAGGATAGAAAACATAAGCAACAGACTTGTGCTTTCTGATAAGCATAATTCTCCTGGAGATGGATGTTGGAAGGGTGGCCAACAGTCACCTAGCAAGTCATGAAACAACTGGTTTGATAATATTCATAATTTCTACAACTAGGGCCAGTTTCAAACCAAAGACAATCCCTGCTGGGGTGGTAGAGCTGATAACTTACAAAGCCAACGTAGCATTTTAAGGTGATACTTCTGTCCTGTTCTTCCCTTGATTACACAATCAATAAACTGCCTGTGCCTTCATCCTTTCCCAACTTAAGGGTTGTTCAGGTTTCTACCGGACCATGAGGCCAAAAGCCAAGTCTTCTTTTAGTACAGGCTGTTTCCAGGGTTTTCCATCATTAGTACTGGAGGCATGGTTTAATAGCAGTCGATTACCTTTCCGGTGGAGAGACACAGCATTAAAATATGTGAGCATTTTTTAATATGGCATGGACAAGAGAGTTCCAGATAGAAAACAAGGCAGATAGGACCGGGGAGGCAGCCTTTTGGCAGAAGGCTGGCAGATGTGGAAGTAATGACACTGGAGTCATTTGTGTAGTCTGTGATGTGGCTGACGTTTGCAAGTCAGGGTTGAACTTCTTTTTTGAAGCTCATTTTTGAAAAATACAAAACTGAGGTATAAGTTTGACAAGGCTTGTGGAGGTTTACTATCTAGTCTTACATTAAGAATTCACAGAACGGAAACAATAGAAGAAAGACCTCTTTTTTGTTTATTGGTGACACATCAGATCGAGGCTTCTAAACCTGCTTCTGTGACGATTGTTATGTCCCTAAGCACGTGCCTGTGCTCCCTTGTTAGTTTCTGTCTTCAGGGGNCTATTATGATCTCATATTGTACACGAGGAAGCAGACGCACACAGCTAGTAAATAAGGGAAGCGGGATTCAGACCAGGTGGCTTGAGTAAAAATCAGCTGCAGCAGGAGCAAATAGCTCGGAGGTAGGGCTGCACTAAGTGTGGTAAAGATTAGTGAATGGGCACCCATCGCTGAAATAAGAAAACAAGGGCAAAAATGATAGGATGGAAATGAAGATGTTGGATTGATTTAGTTAAGTAGTGGAGCTCCCTTGACAATGTTTGAACGGGGAATGACATGACTTGAGACGTGTTTCAGGGAACTGAGCAGTGCTGTTGGGTAGGTTGGCAGTGAGAACACCAGGATATTATTTTACTAAGCTGAGCAAAATTAATATATCAGGTGGACCAGAGTTCAGATGGTGGCAGGAAAATCCTGAGAAAGAGAAAGAGAGGACAGGTGTGGTAAAAGCAGACTCTGTTCTTCTTGACTATTGCATGGCTGATGGGAAGACACTGGGGAGGAAGAAACAGAAAGCTGCCCCCAAGCTTCTGCGTGTCAACATGGGAAGAGGGTGGACGTGCTGGCTGAAGGAGGGGTGATAGGAAGAATCACAACTTTGAGAGAAAATATACTTGATTTGTTAGTCAAACTGGATTTTCTTTTTCATGAACTCGAGTTTTTAAGAGTGACTTGGAGTCTCTAATCAAAGTATGTCTAGTCACATTCAATTTTGGAAAGCTTAAAATGTTGATAAGGTTCTATACTTTAGGATAGAAAACATAAGCAACAGACTTGTGCTTTCTGATAAGCATAATTCTCCTGGAGATGGATGTTGGAAGGGTGGCCAACAGTCACCTAGCAAGTCATGAAACAACTGGTTTGATAATATTCATAATTTCTACAACTAGGGCCAGTTTCAAACCAAAGACAATCCCTGCTGGGGTGGTAGAGCTGATAACTTACAAAGCCAACGTAGCATTTTAAGGTGATACTTCTGTCCTGTTCTTCCCTTGATTACACAATCAATAAACTGCCTGTGCCTTCATCCTTTCCCAACTTAAGGGTTGTTCAGGTTTCTACCGGACCATGAGGCCAAAAGCCAAGTCTTCTTTTAGTACAGGCTGTTTCCAGGGTTTTCCATCATTAGTACTGGAGGCATGGTTTAATAGCAGTCGATTACCTTTCCGGTGGAGAGACACAGCATTAAAATATGTGAGCATTTTTTAATATGGCATGGACAAGAGAGTTCCAGATAGAAAACAAGGCAGATAGGACCGGGGAGGCAGCCTTTTGGCAGAAGGCTGGCAGATGTGGAAGTAATGACACTGGAGTCATTTGTGTAGTCTGTGATGTGGCTGACGTTTGCAAGTCAGGGTTGAACTTCTTTTTTGAAGCTCATTTTTGAAAAATACAAAACTGAGGTATAAGTTTGACAAGGCTTGTGGAGGTTTACTATCTAGACTGACATTAAGAATTCACAGAACGGAAACAATAGAAGAAAGACCTCTTTTTTGTTTATTGGTGACACACCAGATCGAGGCTTCTAAACCTGCTTCTATTTTTGAAAAATACAAAACTGAGGTATAAGTTTGACAAGGCTTGTGGAGGTTTACTATCTAGTCTTACATTAAGAATTCACAGAACGGAAACAATAGAAGAAAGACCTCTTTTTTGTTTATTGGTGACACATCAGATCGAGGCTTCTAAACCTGCTTCTGTGACGATTGTTATGTCCCTAAGCACGTGCCTGTGCTCCCTTGTTAGTTTCTGTCTTCAGGGGCACAGGGTCAGGCTCTCTCCCACATAGCTGTCCTTGTCCCTTAGAGGCTGCTGTGCTGAAGCTGGTAATTGCTAAGACTTTCTTCTTTGTCTTTAATAGAGACACATTCCTGTAATCAGGCTTCACAGCATCTTAAAAATCTGATTTGGTGCCTCTGCTTGAACAAAATTTCCCATTTTAGCTATAGCTACTTCTTTGTGTAGTTTTCATTCAGCCTGGTTTCCAGCAGGAAGTTGCCTAGGAACATGTGACCTCTTTCTAGAGCATTTTACTTATCCCATCCACAGTATTTTTATTAAGGAGATACAATAGCCAGACTCTGTGCTATTGCATGACTCTGGGAAATGAGAGGTGAAAAAAAATAGTCCCTTACTCCAAGGACTATCCAGCCTCCAAGGATCTTTCAGTCCAGTGGGAAAAGAGAGGAGAGTAAAGCTACAATATTGTGTAAGTACTAGAACCACATCTGCTGTAAGAATGGCACAGAAGGGGTAACTAAGGTGAAGGAGATTTGGGGAAACTTTCCAGAGGAAAGTGGGTTTCGAAGGATAAGCAGAAATTAGCCAGAAGGAGGATGTGAGCAAAGGTATTCTGGGTGGTGAGAGTACCAGTGCGTGCAAAACATTAAGAAACACAGAGTAAACATTCAAGGATTCCTACAGGTCCAGCGTAGAGAAAGAAAGAAAAAGCAAAAGACATGTTTGCAGAGATGGGCAGCAAGTAGGTCACAGGATTTTTATTTCAACTAGGACATTTTAAGCAAAGTAAGGGGATGATCAAATTTGCCTTTGGGAATGGTCCTTCTGGCCATGAAGAATGGATTGGATGGGGTAATACTTGTGCAGGGAAGACCAGCTAGGAGGCTGCTCTCCACCACTGCAGAAATGATAATTAGTGTCTGAGCTCAGGTAGAAGTGGGGACAGAGAGTGGCGGGTTTGACAGCGAGGAGCTGAACCCATAAGCCCTAAGTCTGATAGATGGAAAAGCTGAAGGAGAGAGACGGCTCAGGAAGGTGCTCAGAGGCTCACCTGACTTAAGCTGCCAGGTGGATGGTATTGACCTTTAACAAGACAGAAGATGTC